GTCTTCGTATAGCCCCCATATAACGGTACCTCCCGATATTCGGTATTTTGATGATTTTAGCGACATTATTCACGGGAATTGTTTCAAATCTGGTATTTGAAGTTCCAAATGGATACTACACCCTAAGACAGAAAATTGTCTTTGCAGGTCCACGTCCTCGTATAGCCCCAATATAACAGTACCTCCCTATATTCGGTATTTTGATGATTTTAGCGACATTATTCACTGGAATTGTTTCAAATTTGGTATTTTAAGTTCCAAATGGATACTACACCCTAAGATAGAAAATTATCTGTGCAAGTCTATGTCTTCGTATAGCCCCAATATAACGGTACCTCCGGATTTTCGGTATTTTGATGATTTTAGCGACGTTATTCACCGGAATTGATTCAAATTTGGTATTTTAAGTTCCAAATGGATACTACACCCTAAGATAGAAAATTATCTGTGCAAGTCTATGTCTTCGTATAGCCCCCATATAACGGTACCTCCCGATATTCGGTATTTTGATGATTTTAGCGACATTATTCACGGGAATTGTTTCAAATCTGGTATTTGAAGTTCCAAATGGATACTACACCCTAAGACAGAAAATTGTCTTTGCAGGTCCACGTCTTCGTATAGCCCCAATATAACGGTACCTCCCTATATTCGGTATTTTGATGATTTTAGCGGCGTTATTCACCGGAATTGTTTCAAATCTGGTATTTAAAGTTCCAAATGGATACTACACCCTAAGACAGAAAATTGTCTTTGCAGGTCCACGTCCTCGTATAGCCCCAATATAACAGTACCTCCCTATATTCGGTATTTTGATGATTTTAGCGACATTATTCACTGGAATTGTTTCAAATTTGGTATTTTAAGTTCCAAATGGATTCTACACCCTAAGACTGAAAATTGTCTGTGCAGGTCCACGTCTTCGTATAGCCCCCATATAACGGCACCTCGCTATGTTCGGTATTTTGATGATTTTAGCGACATTATTAACCGGAATTGTTTAAAATTTGATAGTTGAAGTTTGTTATGGGAACTACAGTCTGTGACAGAAAATTGTCGGTGCGGGTCCAGTTTCGAATTTGAATATGGTAATGGCTTATGACAAACAATGCATATGTATGTCCACGTCGTATAGACCCCAACATAACAGCTATATTCGGTATTTTTAAAATTTTAACAGAATTTTTAAGGATTTTATTTTTTGAAAATTTCCAAATTCGTTGTAAATGGTGGAGGGTATTAAAAGTTCGGCCCGGCCGAACTTACTGCTTTTTATTATACCCTCCACCATACTATGGAGGGTATATTAACTTTGTCATTCCGTTTGTAACTCCTCGAAATACTCATGTCAGACCCAACAAAGTATATATATTCTTGATCAGCGTAAAATTCTAAGTCGATTTAGCTATGTCCGTCTGTCTGTCTGTCTGTCTGTCCGTCTGTCTGTCTGTCTGTTGTAATCACGCTATCTTTCGAATAAATTGAGATAGATGGCTAAAATTTTGCACACATGTTTATTTTTCCAGTAGGCAGGTTAAGTTCGTAAATGGGCCATGTAGGTCCACGTTTTCATATAGCTCCCATATAACGGTACCTCCGGATTTTCGGTATTTTGATGATTTTAGCGACGTTATTCACCGGAATTGATTCAAATTTGGTATTTTAAGTTCCAAATGGATACTACACCCTAAGATAGAAAATTATCTGTGCAAGTCTATGTCTTCGTATAGCCCCCATATAACGGTACCTCCCGATATTCGGTATTTTGATGATTTTAGCGACATTATTCACGGGAATTGTTTCAAATCTGGTATTTGAATTTCCAAATGGATACTACACCCTAAGACAGAAAATTGTCTTTGCAGGTCCACGTCTTCGTATAGCCCCAATATAACGGTACCTCCCTATATTCGGTATTTTGATGATTTTAGCGACGTTATTCACCGGAATTGTTTCAAATTTGGTATTTGAAGTTCCAAATGGATACTACGCCCTAAGATAGAAAATTGTCTGTGCAAGTCTATGTCTTCGTATAGCCCCCATATAACGGTACCTCCCGATATTCGGTATTTCGATGATTTTAGCGACATTATTCACGGGAATTGTTTCAAATCTGGTATTTGAAGTTCCAAATGGATACTACACCCTAAGACAGAAAATTGTCTTTGCAGGTCCACGTCTTCGTATAGCCCCAATATAACGGTACCTCCCTATATTCGGTATTTTGATGATTTTAGCGACGTTATTCACCGGAATTGTTTCAAATTTGGTATTTGAAGTTCCAAATGGATACTACACCCTATGTCTTCGTATAGCCCCCATATAACGGTACCTCCCGATATTCGGTATTTCGATGATTTTAGCGATATTATTCACGGGAATTGTTTCAAATCTGGTATTTGAAGTTCCAAATGGATACTACACCCTAAGACAGAAAATTGTCTTTGCAGGTCCACGTCCTCGTATAGCCCCAATATAACAGTACCTCCCTATATTCGGTATTTTGATGATTTTAGCGACATTATTCACTGGAATTGTTTCAAATTTGGTATTTTAAGTTCCAAATGGATACTACACCCTAAGATAGAAAATTATCTGTGCAAGTCTATGTCTTCGTATAGCCCCAATATAACGGTACCTCCGGATTTTCGGTATTTTGATGATTTTAGCGACGTTATTCACCGGAATTGATTCAAATTTGGTATTTTAAGTTCCAAATGGATACTACACCCTAAGATAGAAAATTATCTGTGCAAGTCTATGTCTTCGTATAGCCCCCATATAACGGTACCTCCCGATATTCGGTATTTTGATGATTTTAGCGACATTATTCACGGGAATTGTTTCAAATCTGGTATTTGAAGTTCCAAATGGATACTACACCCTAAGACAGAAAATTGTCTTTGCAGGTCCACGTCTTCGTATAGCCCCAATATAACGGTACCTCCCTATATTCGGTATTTTGATGATTTTAGCGGCGTTATTCACCGGAATTGTTTCAAATCTGGTATTTAAAGTTCCAAATGGATACTACACCCTAAGACAGAAAATTGTCTTTGCAGGTCCACGTCCTCGTATAGCCCCAATATAACAGTACCTCCCTATATTCGGTATTTTGATGATTTTAGCGACATTATTCACTGGAATTGTTTCAAATTTGGTATTTTAAGTTCCAAATGGATTCTACACCCTAAGACTGAAAATTGTCTGTGCAGGTCCACGTCTTCGTATAGCCCCCATATAACGGCACCTCGCTATGTTCGGTATTTTGATGATTTTAGCGACATTATTAACCGGAATTGTTTAAAATTTGATAGTTGAAGTTTGTTATGGGAACTACAGTCTGTGACAGAAAATTGTCGGTGCGGGTCCAGTTTCGAATTTGAATATGGTAATGGCTTATGACAAACAATGCATATGTATGTCCACGTCGTATAGACCCCAACATAACAGCTATATTCGGTATTTTTAAAATTTTAACAGAATTTTTTAAGGATTTTATTTTTTGAAAATTTCCAAATTCGTTGTAAATGGTGGAGGGTATTAAAAGTTCGGCCCGGCCGAACTTACTGCTTTTTATTATACCCTCCACCATACTATGGAGGGTATATTAACTTTGTCATTCCGTTTGTAACTCCTCGAAATACTCATGTCAGACCCAACAAAGTATATATATTCTTGATCAGCGTAAAATTCTAAGTCGATTTAGCTATGTCCGTCTGTCTGTCTGTCTGTCTGTCCGTCTGTCTGTCTGTCTGTTGTAATCACGCTATCTTTCGAATAAATTGAGATAGATGGCTAAAATTTTGCACACATGTTTATTTTTCCAGTAGGCAGGTTAAGTTCGTAAATGGGCCATGTAGGTCCACGTTTTCATATAGCTCCCATATAACGGTACCTCCGGATTTTCGGTATTTTGATGATTTTAGCGACGTTATTCACCGGAATTGATTCAAATTTGGTATTTTAAGTTCCAAATGGATACTACACCCTAAGATAGAAAATTATCTGTGCAAGTCTATGTCTTCGTATAGCCCCCATATAACGGTACCTCCCGATATTCGGTATTTTGATGATTTTAGCGACATTATTCACGGGAATTGTTTCAAATCTGGTATTTGAATTTCCAAATGGATACTACACCCTAAGACAGAAAATTGTCTTTGCAGGTCCACGTCTTCGTATAGCCCCAATATAACGGTACCTCCCTATATTCGGTATTTTGATGATTTTAGCGACGTTATTCACCGGAATTGTTTCAAATTTGGTATTTGAAGTTCCAAATGGATACTACGCCCTAAGATAGAAAATTGTCTGTGCAAGTCTATGTCTTCGTATAGCCCCCATATAACGGTACCTCCCGATATTCGGTATTTCGATGATTTTAGCGACATTATTCACGGGAATTGTTTCAAATCTGGTATTTGAAGTTCCAAATGGATACTACACCCTAAGACAGAAAATTGTCTTTGCAGGTCCACGTCCTCGTATAGCCCCAATATAACAGTACTTCCCTATATTCGGTATTTTGATGATTTTAGCGACATTATTCACTGGAATTGTTTCAAATTTGGTATTTTAAGTTCCAAATGGATTCTACACCCTAAGACTGAAAATTGTCTGTGCAGGTCCACGTCTTCGTATAGCCCCCATATAACGGCACCTCGCTATGTTCGGTATTTTGATGATTTTAGCGACATTATTAACCGGAATTGTTTAAAATTTGATAATTGAAGTTCGTTATGGGAACTACAGTCTGTGACAGAAAATTGTCGGTGCGGGTCCAGTTTCGAATTTGAATATGGTAATGGCTTATGACAAACAATGCATATGTATGTCCACGTCGTATAGACCCCAACATAACGGCTATATTCGGTATTTTTAAAATTTTAACAGAATTTTTTAAGGATTTTATTTTTTGAAAATTTCCAAATTCGTTGTAAATGGTGGAGGGTATTAAAAGTTCGGCCCGGCCGAACTTACTGCTTTTTAACTTGTTGTGCTTTAAAATTTAACTTTCACTTCACTTTATCACGGCGGCGGGGTCAAGTATCGTGTTGATCGATTTTACGCAAAACTTCGAATGAATATCTCGTTCTCATCAAAGCCGTCACCAACTGCATTTTTGCTTTGACTTTTCCAATGCTGACTGGAAAAGAGAACGAAGACTTGTAAATACATAATAGTTTGGTACCGCTTGCGTATGCATGTATGTGTGCATATTAAATGCGTACCGCTACGGTACAGTGGTGCGCCAAATAAATAGCACGCACATTGTTGGGCAAAAAAATAGCAACATCTAAAATATGTTGGGTACATTCATGTACAGTATCTTTGTTAATTCATTTACAAACCAAAGAGGTCTTAGATATATATGTTAAACTCAAGAATAATAAATTCATATTTTGACTTGTTTTGCAAAATTAAGTTTGTAAATATTATTTAATCATTGTTACAAAAGTTCATTTTTTCCTTACATATCATATTTTGTAAACAATTCTACTTAGTTGTCATTCATTTTTCAGTCCATTTTGATTTGTTTTTAACAGGAATATATTGAAAATATTTTCAACATACAAGTTCTTATAAAATACTATAACTTTCTTAAGTTATATAGTGTATAAATGTTAGGAAACTGTATGAGGTCACCATCAAAATAAACAAAAATTTCATGTGTATCGTCCAGACTTCCGATTCCCAATATAAAAGGCTGAATATGTTCTTTCATCTTTAACAAAAAATCCATATGGTCGTGTAATTCTTGCAAAATCGTTCCCAAAAACAAAAACGTCTTCTGGGAGTCCTTTATTGTAAAGCGAGATTTTTCCTTATTTCCGAGTTTTGTTTTTCGAACTTGCCGCCCAGTCGGGAAAAGAACATAATGTAAAATCCATAGGGTTTTCACTACAAATGTGCCCCGATCTGCAAAATAATAACGTTAAATTAGGTTTGATCGATTTGTTGAAGACTTGAAGACTCTTACCGTTTTCCAAATCTTCGTCCTGCAGACTTTCTAAAATTGTTGACTCACCATGACATTTAAGTTGCTTAAATTTTTTTAGAAAGTTAACCAACTTTCGGATTTTTTGGTCCCAGTTGAGCATTTTGTTGTGCGATTTAATTCAATATCAATCTGAATTAAAAACAGTTTTTGTAGAATTACGCCAAAGTTGTCAAATGTTTACTATTTGATATATTTACTCACCAACTTATTTGACGTCGTAGGTGATTCGTTTTCCAACATAAAAAGCTCTTTGCTTTGTTTTTCAGTCGGAAATAAAGACAATATTTGCGTTTCGAGTTTGTAGCTTGTTGGAGAGTCATCGGTGTGTCTTTTCTTGCAAAATGCTGGGCAGCAATGTTTATAATTAAAACTTTGTAAAACTGTAGCACACGTTCCCCATTTTTATTACTTTGCAATAGCTCCAACATATTGACGTTATCGACTTCTGTATCAGATGAGTTACACGAATCGGCTTTTTTGGAAAAAACTAGAGAACTTGAACATTCTGCCCAAAATGGATGGTTAATCATATCTCCACTTTGTGAAATAATGAATGAACTGGGCCTTGTCTCCAATTCTGTGTCAGCTCTTTTACTTGTTTCTCAGTTAGTATTTTCAAAATATCAATAGAAATATGTTCACCTATAAGCAGTAAACGTTATTATACCACAAAAGACAAAGGAAAAGTAAAAAGAATAAGGGACTTATTAAATATTTTTTCAAAATATATTATAGGGTAAGCATATAAGTTTAATCTTACGTATGAGTATGTCCAATTTGTCTTCTACACCCCATGATATTAGTAAGTTTTTTAAGGCATCTTCTTCGCCACAGCTCAAAGCCTCCGAGTTTGTTTCAGACATTTTAAATATAAAAAAAAATTATTTAGCATGGAAAAAGGTATTTTTAAATTGTTTCTTTGAAACGAAGCATATTAGCGGTATTAATCAATGTGGCCGGTGGTCCAATTAATTCGTCAAGTTTCAAAACGGTATATTCTCCTTTATCATTTGGAATAATTTCAAATGCAGTGTAGTGTTTCAAATACGTACTGTTTAGAACTTGTTGACAAACCAAATAAACTGTGAGTTGTGAAACAACGATATTAACAATATTGTATACATCATCTTTTTTTGTTGCTACAAAATACGAACTTTTGTATGTGATATTTTTATAAACAACTTTTTCAAAAGTCTTTATAGTATTCTTTGCAACTTTTAATTTGAGGCTTATAACGTCCAGCAAATAAGGCTTGAGGCTTATAACGTCCAGCAAATAATCTTGACACTCGCTGGTATTGGAGCAAATAATGTCGGGAATCTCAGTTTTTTCTAACAAAAAATCTGCAAACACAAATTGATATTTTTTTGCCATGGAAGCAGAAATATTTTTTCTAGACGTGATTGCGTGAGCATACAATTTAAAGCTCCTATGTTTTGCCTCATACGGAAAGCCTTTATAAGGCCGCAAGCCTTTATAACTTCAGGATAATGCGTCAGTATATGAAACTTAGGTTTAAGTTTATCATTAAATAACTTGAGATACATTTTATTGTGTCTTTTTATATTACTTTCCAAAGAATTTATCATGAAGTCGTCCACCCGACAAGTCAATATAGTACATACTATTACAATTAATGTTAGTACGAGCTGCCAAACTTCATCGTCACGTGGCACGAAATCGCCTACCATAATGGGAAAATATGTAACAAAAGTTAGCATTTCACGAGCAGACATTTTTAAATGCGCCTAACCTTTTTTTTTTGCCACAGTGGTCGATAAATAATATTTTGAAATTCATTGGAGTTCTCAAGTTCATGACAAATCGACCGCATTTGGTAAAAATTAATATTTTTTCTGGAATTTTTTTGAACATAAATGCCATAGGCATTGTTGTCATTTTTTGGCCAAATTTGAGTGGACCAACCCTTTAGTATGAGCTAGTGTTTCTCTTCGATCAATCACCGATTTTTTTAGATCTTGAACAAGATTAATCTTTTTTAGTTTTTCGGGCAGCAAATACTCCGTTTTAAGCTTATATATATATATATATATATATATATATATATATATATATATATATATATATATATATATATATATATATATATATATATATATATATATATATATATATATATATATATATATATATATATATATATATATATATATATAAAGTAAAAAAGTAACATCTTTTCTTCAAAAATTATAGTTTGAATGCATACTTGTTAGGAATTTAATAACGTTCTCGCTAACTCTTTCAAATTTATTTTTTTCCAAATCAGGTTGCAAATAGTTTGAAGGAGTAGGAGAAACATCAATATTTTGTTCACATTGAGTGTCAAGAATAACCGGAATGTCTGCTTCTATTTCCTCAATTTGTTTCACACTTCTTAAAACCCGCGTTTGTTTTATTTCATTTTTCGGTTCTTGAGGAGAAAAACTGCTGTTATGTCTTTGAAAAGACCAATATTCATAATTTTGACCACAACACTTGTATAAATCAGTAGATTTTAGAAAATGATCACCTCGAAGGTGTTTGAAGAAATGTTTCTTGTTACAAAACTTTTTTTTACACATAAAGCAAATCATATTATTTTGTGTTATTTACCACCGTTTTTATTTTGTTTAAAGTATGTATTTCTTTTAATGTTCTCCGATTGAAACACACAATGAAATGAATAAGGAATTTTCTACTTCACTTCGCTAAACCAAAAATATGTGACAAACAAAAATATACCGTTATAATTGATCGTTACTCTATTTTGTTAGTGGAGTTGTTCAGACAAAAGAGACATGTGTGTGTGTATGTGTTGCTTCAATAGTTTGCCAGTAAGTCAATTCATGAGTACACATTTAATGTGAGGCAACTTTTTCAGAATAAAAAACGCGTCAGAATATAAACTATTGTTTTTTTTTATAAATAACGCTTTTTTTGTGTTCCATTAAAAAACGAATGGAGTAAAGCTTTATTTAAAACACATATATGCAGAAATTTCCTTATTTGTATGTATATATGCATACACATAAATACATTGCGAATTATTAAAATCCTTACAGATGTAAAAAAGTACTGAAAATAAAATCGTTTAAATTGTACTTATAATAAATGTTTTTGAGAAACCAGATATAGTTATGTAAACTTAATTATATTATCTAAACTTTTTGTTTATTTATAGTATAATAAAAATAAAATAAAAGCAAATTAAATAAACGAAAAAGAGATCTTCTGCCTAAAGGCAAAATTCTTTGAAAACTTTACTGTTTTGCAAGTTTCGAGGTACGATTCCGCAAATAAAATCTCTAGCGGTTCAAACGGAAAATGTCAAATGATTTCAATTTATCGATAATTATTTGACATAAAATTGAAAGATTAATCGTTTGGTGAGAAAAGGCCTGTACGATTTGGCTTCAAAACGATAAAACATACGATAAACGATAAATCGTTTCCCGTGAAAAAGCCTCAACGCAATATAAAGTACATATATTTTTTTATTTATCAATTTTGGACTTTCAAATTCTTTACATCAATGTCCCAGAAGTTTGATAAATACAGAAGGGAGCAATACATAAATATTAAAAAAAAAACATAAAAAAATGGTTAAAGATGCAAAAATCTTTATTACTTCGTTTGTAGCTGTCAGAAGTTCCGGATCACTTTTTGATTTTATTGCGCTTATATTTTTTCTTTTCCAAGTGTACACAAAATATATCAGAGCAACAATAAATATAATTGTAGAAATCTTTCGGCTACTTAAATTAAATAAAATGCAAAATATAGTCTGAATAAGGCTAAGTTATCAACACTGAATCAAACTCCATGTTGGTACATTCCCATACACACACACACACATACGCTTTACTGATTGACCAAACTACAGTTGACACTCGAGTATGCGATATTTACAAAATTATATTTAATATAAACTTCGCTTGTTTGTTTAATACATAAAACATACCCGGCAATATTATTTTTTAACTTAGATATTAAATAACATATATTTTTATAAACTGAAAAATTTCATTCATGAAAGGCTTCCCATTATTCATTATAAATCAAACAGGAACTATTTCAGATAATCGGGGTTCAACTGTATTTTCTTCTTATTGCAGTTTCAGTTACGTTCAGTCTTGTGTATTTTTTTTTTCGTAACAAGAGTGTTTTTGTATATTTAGGCTTCTAACGAACATTATTAAGGAAAAAACTAGAACTTATGTTTAGAGAGATTTGAACAATCTTAAAAAGCACAGTACAGCATGCCCATTTATATATCACAACTTTGATTTTTTTTTATTCCAGCGTAATTTTCAGTGATACAATTTTTATGAAGCCTATGCAAAATTAATTCAGATTAAACCCAAAATAATAAACTATTGCCACCTTTGTACTTGTACCTTTAAACTTGTTTCGATTTGAAATAATTCAAGACACACGAACATTTATGAAGCCATTTCATTAAAAATGTGAAACGCTTCATTAAGTCAATGGACATTCTCTATGAACATTGTGGATGAAAAATTTCAATGCAGTTTCATAAGAAATAATGAAATTTAATGGAGCTATTTCAAAACATTATGAAACTTTTCATTCGACCAATGAACATCTTTTATGAAAATGGTTATGAAAACCTTCATTAAAGTTTCATAAAAAATGAAAGCAATTTTATGAACCAATTTCATTTAACCTTTGAAATATTTCATTCAACCAATGAAATGATTTTTATGATTTTTTTTATGAAGCCCTCATAACACCTTCATCGGACCAATGCAATTTTTGCATTGGATCTATGAAGTTTCATTCTATTAATGAAACTTTTCATTGGATGAACGAAACAATTCTTATGAACATGTTTCATGGATCCAATGAAGCATTTTTCTCTCAGTGTATTTTTATGATTTTAGCGACATTATTCACCTGAATTGTTTCAAATTTCGTATTTAAAGTTCGTAGTGGGTACTACAGGCTATGACAGAAAAATAATTGTGCAGGTCCACGTCTTTGTATAGCCCCCAGATAATCGTACCCACCGGCATTCGGTATTTGGATAATTTTAGAGAAATTATTCACCGCAATTGTTTCAATGTTAGCGTTTGAAGTTCGTAATAGATGCTACAGCCATTGATAGCCAATTGTCTGTAAAGCGATACCTCCCGATATTCGGTATTTTGATGATTTTAGCGACATTGTTTACCGGAATTTTGTATTTGAAATCCGCAATGGGTACTACAGCCTATAACAGAAAATTGCCTGAGCGGTTCGACGTCTTCTTATAACGTCTTATAACGGTACCTCCCGATATTCGGTATTTTGGTAATTTTAGCGACATTTTTCATTGGAAATGTTTCAAATTTATTATTTAAAGTGTGAAATGAATACTACAGGCTAAAACAGAAAATTGTCTGTGCAGGTCCGTTTGCTCGTATGTCCCCCATTTAACGGTACCTCCCGATATTCGGTACTTTGATGATTTTAGCGACATTATTCAACGGAATTGTTTCAAATTTGGTATTTGAAGTTCGTAATGAATTCTTCAGCCTATGACAGAAAATTGTCTGTGCTGGACCATGTCTTCATTTAGCCCCCATATAATGGTATCTCCCGTTATTTGGTATTTTGATGATTTTACCGAAATTTTCACCGGAATTGTTTCAAATTTGGTGTTTGAAGTTCGTAATGGGTACTACAGCCTAGAAAAGAAAATTGTCTGTGCAGGTCCACATCTTCGTATAGCCCCCATATAATGGTGTCCCCTGATATTGGATATTTTAAGACTTTAGCCACATTATTCACCGAATTTTTTTAAATCAAGTTTCGCATTTGAATATTGTAATGGTTTATGACAAAAGTTGCCTATGCATGTCCACGTCGTCGTATAGACCCTAATTTAGTGGTTACATTCGGTATTTTTTAAGTTTTTAACAGAATTTTTAACGGATTTCATTTTTTGAAAATGGACCAAATCGTTCCAAATGGAGGAAGGCATTTAAAGATCGGCCCGGACGAACTTACAGCGCACGTCTTTGTATATCCCTCATATAACGGTACCTCCCGATATTAGGTATTTTTTATGATTTTAGCGACATTAGTCACCGGAATTGTTTCAAATGTCCACGTCTTCGTATATCCCCCACATAACGGACCTCCCGATATTCGGTATTTTGATAACTTTAGCGACATTTTTCACCGGAATTGTTTCTAATTTAGTGTTTGAAGTTCGTAGTGGATTCTACAGGCTATGATAGAAAATTGTCTGTTCAAATCCACGTTTTGGTATAGCCCCAATATAACGGTAACTCCCTATATTCGGTACTTTGATGACTTTAGCTACATTATTCACCGAATTTTTTTAATTCATGATTCGCATTTGAATATGCTAATGGCTTATGACAAAAGTTGCCTATGCAGGTCCACGTCGTTGTATAGTCCCTAATATAACGGCTACATTCGGCATTTTTGAAGATTATAACAGAATTTTTAACGGATTTTATTTTGCCAAATCGTTCCGAATAGTGGAGGGCATTCAAAGATCTGCCCGGTCTAACTAACAGCTTACAGCGCACGTCTTCGTATATGCCCCATATAACGATACCTACCAATATTCTGTATTTTGATAATTTTAGCGACAATTTTCAAATTGTTTCAAATTTGGTATTTGAAGATCGTAATGAGTACTACAGCCTAAAACAGAAAATTAACCGTACCTCCCGATATTCGGTACATTGATGATTTTAGAAACAATTTTCACCGAAATTGTT